GGATATTTCCTGAGATACTGAAGACTGGAAAAGTAATACCAATATTTAAGGGTGGTGATAACAAAAACTTAGAAAATTATAGACCTATAACAATTGTGTGCTCATTCTTGAAAATTACTGAAACTATAATAAAGACAAGAATAATGTACTTTGTTAATTGTAATGTGGGATTTGATGAGTATCAGTATGGTTTTATCAAGGATAGCAGCACTCCAAGCGGTTATTGCAGTGTTTGTTGATTTAAAAACGGCTTTTAACGTTATTGACCATGCTGTTCTTCCGAACAAACTATGTTGCGTGGGTATAAGGGACAAAACTTATTCTCTCGTTGAGACATTTTTGAAGGAAATATCCCAGTTTATCGCTATTGGCGAGAGCGTGAACGAGCATATAAAAAATAATTGTGGCGTACCACAGGGATCCGTATTGGGACCCCTGTTGTATACACTGATGGTACTGTCACTGAGGCAGGCCGGGCTTACGGGGAGGTATCTCCTCCCAAGGAGTTGACCTCCTAGGTCATCGTCCATCCTGTCCTTTCCAGGAAGTTGGACAGGTCTCTGGGAGACCTCCTCTATATTGGCAGGTGTAGGCCAAGACTTGCCGAACACACACCCCTTATTGACGGTAACTTCAGATATTCGCATAGGACATGCCTGACAGTTTCATCTTCCTGTTCATCCATCCTGCACGGAGGTGTGTCCACTAGCCCCATATTGTTGAGGTGTTTCCTTAGTAGACAGTGTCAGTTGAAAATCCTACTGTTAGGCGTAGATTTTTCCTGGTCATCGCCAGATATTCCTTCGGCGCCAGCTTCCCAGGGTCGCCCAGGGTGATCCTGGCAAGTTTGCATCCTTTGTCGTGGTAGCAATTGTCGAAGTCATCAGGCCGTAGGTGTCACTGGGTCCTAAAATTCTTAGTCCAGCCGCTTCCTTGGCAAAAGAGTCGGCAATGAGATTTCCTTTACTCCTGTCGTGCCCTTCAATCCACTTCAGGATAATATTATTATCTAACGAGGCTTTGGCAAAATCTTGGTGGCACTCTAGTACTAGTCCTGAGGTAACACGTCTGTTCAAGGCTAATAGGGCTTGTCTGCTATCAGTGCAGATTGTTATGTTTTTGCCAGAAATTCCTTTCCTGGTTATTTCTTTTGTAGTGATTGAGATACCAGTCAGTTCTGTTTGGACCACGCTGGTATTTTTTCCAATTCTCCACTCAATCCTTAGGCTTAGTGATCTGGAGTACACTCCACATCCTGAGCCTTCTTTGGTTTTTGAGCTGTCTGTATATATGCGTATTGCATTTGTAGCATCTGACTCGGTGTTCTGTTTTATTTGTATTTGGAGGGTTTAGTAAACACTAACATGGGTTCAATTGCATCACTGGTTGCCTGCAGCAGAGGTTGCACAGTAAACGCTTCTCGCCATAGGCTCAGCCTCAATTGACCCATTCCTACTTCAAAGTTTACACCAGCCGAGTGCAATCGTAACATAGCCATTAACACAACCTCCTTAACGTACAGGTCCAGAGGGGTCAGACCAGTAATTAATTCCATTGCCGCGGTTGGAGTTGTTCTCATGGCTCCTGTGATGTTTAAGCAAGCCAGTCACTGTATTTGATATCATTTTTGGATGGCCGTTGCTTGTAGAACTTTCGGTCCCCATGCGATGGCTCCTTACGTTAACATAGGTCTTATTGCAGTGTAGGTCCAGGTGACCACACGGGGTGAAAGACCCCATGATCGTCCCACATGTTAGCTTCCTGTCGAGGATAGCACCAAGGTATTTCATCTCTTCGGAGAAGTTAAGTTTGCTTTTGAAGATTTCGGGAGGTTTTAAGCTCGATAAACTTTTTTTCCTGGTGGAAAGGACCATCTCATTCATAATATTACATCAGAATTGGATAAAAAAAAAGAATGGTTATTGCTGAACAAACTTTTTGAAAATAGTCTACCACAAAATGTTTATAACACTAGAAATTTTGACTATGTATACCCAAAACATGGACTAACTGTTACAGAAAGGAGCCCATTCTATCAAAGCATTTAAATATTCAACAAACTCCCCACCAGTATTAAACAAATGAATAAACTTGGTGAATTCAAAAAGGGTATTCATAAGATTCTATGTTGCATGAATATAAGGGGCAAAACTTATTCGCTCATTGAGACATTTTTAAAGGTAAGATTCCAGTTTGTCACTGTTGGTGAGAACATGAGCGAACATATTTAAAAAAAATTGTGGCGTACCACAGGGATCCTTTTTGGGACTCCTGCTGTATACATTGATGGTACTGTCACTGAGGCAGGCCGGGCTTACGGGAAGGTATTTTAGTTCACGGATGACACGGTCCTTTTGTACAGTGGAGATGATTTACAGTTACTGGAGAACACAGTTAATGAAGCTCTCTAAATGCTCAAATTGGCTTGCACATAATAAACTAAAGGTGAACTCTGCAGAAACCAAGTATTTGGGACTGATAATAGATGATAAGTTAACTGGTCAGGTCACCTAGAACATATTGATAAAATTGTACTAATGTTAGGAGCTCAAAATAGGTGTTCCAGAGCATTATATACCTGACAATTGCAAAATGGACACAATAATTACAATTCCCAAACCAAACAAGGCTTACTCCCTTACAGACAGTTATCGTCCGATTACTCTCCTGCCTGTAATTGGTAAAAACTTTAAACTTTAATAAAACTGTTTACTCCAACTGCTTAATGATAAAATTCCAAACTACCAGTTTGCATTTAGGCAAGGAAGATCTACCATACATCCTCTCACGATTCTCACCAACAATATTGAAACAACCAAGCTGAACAACAACAAAACGGTAGCCATCTTTCTGGATGTGAACAAAGCATTCCATAGCATATGGCACAAGGGTCTTTTATTCAAACTAAATCAACTGGGTTGTCCTAACTATCTAGTACATACAATTAAGAATCTGCTAATTGACAGGAAACTGAGAGTTAAAATACTGAGTAATTTTTCAGGGGAATTTATCCCAGAGCAGGGAGTTCCACAAGGTTTACCACTCTCACAATTGATATGTAACTTATACAGCTCTGATATTTATGATCACCAACAAAGGAATATCAACCACTTCAGGCTTTCCTAGGGGCGCAGAAGGGCCTGCATCGGCACTGAATTCGAATAGGAGTCGCCATAAAATGTCATAGATTTGGAATGCTTGATAAAAAAATTGACAAGAGAAACATATTTTGTAGAAAGAATGAACAAAAACAAGTATCACACAAATAGTAATCTAGAAGATTTTGAAATCTGATTCTTACCTCTTTATCCAAAATTGTTTCACTGCTAGTTAGGTTATGAATATACTGTAATACTTCTGGCCATGAATTATCTGGAAATTCATGTTTTCCTATTATACCAATGAACTGTGCAATTGAATTTTTAACTATTTTTTCTTGTTCGTTGACTAGTGCTTGAAGCATCCCTTGTTTTATCCTGCAAAAGAACATTTCTATTCAGATGAAGTCATTTGCATTTATAAGTATTCTGCGTGAATATAGATATGAAGTCAGGGTTTTCAAATTCAAAGAGTTTAAAAAAGATGAATGTTTTATTATTCGCTTTACATTGTCTGAAAGTTCTGTTTAATTCGATAAATAAATGAAGTATTTGAGATAATACAACTGAATTACTCAGATAGCTCTCAAGAAAGACAACAAAATGAATCGTTCAAAGAAAGAAAGAAATTTTATTGATGCTTTACACTCTTCATGTTTACAAAAGTCAGGTGGGAATATACTAGTAAAATAGGTAAGTTATGGTTATAATTACATCCACATAATATAAAAGGTTTGAACTTAAAGATAGTTTTAAAATATTTATGCTCTACCTGTGTGTCACTGCAACATCGGCAAAGAAGAGACCACATCATCAGACAGGAATTCTTCAATGCTATAATACGCTTCTTTGATAAGTAGTTTTTTTATTATTTTGTAGGAAACTTTTAGTAGGGGTACAGCATATAGCTTCAGGAATTTTGTTGAAGAATATTAGCGTAGGACTACGTCACTACCCGAATCCAATTACCTTGATCGTAAGAAGTTAAGGAAGAAAAACAGTCTGACAATACTGCCTGTGTTTGCTCCTCTATTCCAAAAAAGAGTTTCCCTATTCCAGAAAGTATAAGTAGATATCTGTGGCTAACTTCACGTTAATAGGGAAAGCCTACACACCACGCCTATATACATTTTCAAAAATACAGACCATTTCGCTGAAAAGTCTGTCTAGATATAAAATAACTTCTAAGTACCATATAAAATTTAATTTTCTATAGGTACCTAGAAATTTCTAATAAACTAATTAGTAATTTATAAGGTATTTTCCAGTCTCCCATAATATTAAACTTTGCTCAAGAGGCCGATCTTCAAAGTGAAAATTGAAATTATAGAATCATCCATTAAAAAACTAAACTAAATGCCAATGAAACATACCTGGTTCTAATATCTAAATTCAATTTACTCCACTGACGTTTTCTTCCAAGTTTCCGCCTCAAAAGAACAGCTGCAGATTGTCTAATTTGGGGATGTGAAGAAGTCACTAACACATCGCAGAGAGCCGGAATAGCTTCCTGTGTTTTGAAAGCTTCTTTCAGTTCTTTGGTGCCCTAAAGAATATTATTTATTTTGATATGTATTCCAAACACATGTGTAATGTGAGGTTAAAAAATCTTTCAACCAATGTCCCCTGAAACAAATTATTACAAACCTCTTGAATTGTTTTGCTGTTGGGTACAAGCAATTTCGAAAGGATTGCCTCCATAGCTTCTAAGATTAATAAAAAAAATATAAATAACACATTAACTTTTTAAGTTTGAGTGACAATGACAGATACAGATGACAGCACTGACAGCGGTACGCAGTTCAGCTTAGTCAGTGTTGCCTAGTCGCTAGTGCCGGACTTGGATGCAATGTAAATGTAAAAAAAAATGTAATCTTATATTGAGTTGTCAAAATAAAGAAAGTAACGTCATTTTCATTGATTTTGGATGTGTGTTTTTTCATTTGCTATGATAATTTTTCAATTTAACATATTGAAATGTCAACGTTCTGATTTTATTTTTGATTTGCTGTATATAAGGTTTTATTGTTCGCTCTAGAATAATATATAATTTCATTTGCAAGGGGTATATTTTTCAGGAGAGATTAGTTTTTTGTTGGAAAGTTTTTAGCTTTTCACTTCTTCATATCTATACAGAATTTGTCTATTTCGGTCACATAAAGTTATAATGTTATGAAAAAAATGAGTACCACATCTTGTAATGTTATACAAAAAGTCCTTAGTATCTAAAGAATGAGGCTGGTGTCTTATTTCGAAGTCCACCACTGAAAATCATAGTGTTTCATGTAAGTGAAATTTTATATCGTAACTCTTTCAAATATTATATTGTGGAGCGCTTCTTTGGATGTTATCTGTGATGAATGAATATTACTGGAGTTTTTTCCCAACACCAAATCGTTATTTTCAACACCTCGACACGTGTTTCGATCACCAAGTGATCATCTTCAAAGAGGAAGATTAAAACTAGCTAGTTTTTATCTTCCTTTTTGAAGATGATAAAACTAGCTAGTTTTAATCTTCCTCTTTGAAGATGATCACTTGGTGATCGAAACACGTGTCGAGGTGTTAAAAATAACGATTTGTTGATGGGGAAAAAACTCCAGTAATATTCATTACTACACCAAAGGTTCCAAACAGTGTATCATAAGTCTATGACGAATGCTTAGATTATAAACTGAAGAGGACAAAGTGAGAGGGCATTTTCCAAATTGTATCCGAAAGTAACTTCTATGCATGATCAACACATTTTTAAGAGTTTCCTTCCAACTTGATTTTTTTCCCTTTTGGGATTTTTTCACATTGTGTGTATACAAATGAAGAGATAGAAAGCCGATAGGGTTTCATTCCAACACATAATTCATATTGTATGTTGTTTTCATCGACCTTTTTTGAGTATTTTACCTTCCATAATCTGGAAAAATATAAATATTGTAATGAAGAACTTCAAATCTTCAGCTAAACGTACGTTTTTAGTTTCATTTCCTTATCCAGGAATTCACTGCCTGTGAAGACAATAAAAAGTCCGTGGAAGAAATTCATCTACCAATTTTCTATCGAATCTGTCCTATCTGCTTTGCCTATCTTTTCAAAACTGTTTGGTCATTCAGTAAATTTTCCGAATTCCTAAATCTATCAATTTCTGAGAACTCCAAAAGATTGACTTTCAAACCTTTCTGTTCCAAAGGAGGTACTTCGATCATAGTTGTGATTTAATTTATGCTCCTCTGTGAAAATGTTGAATTTATTTTCACATCGAGAAACTACTCCTACGTTCTTTTAATGTTTGGGATAAGGTTTTCACCGTTTAGACAATATAAAGTTTGGGGCAAGAACCACAAGTCAACTTATATACTCCTGATGTTTCCTACAGTAAAATTATGCTTTATCAGTTTTATTAGGGGTCCTCAAATTATTATTGGTCCATTAATTCATGGGATATATCTGGTAAATAGTTTGTTTCCGTAGTTTTTTGTAGAGAATGGAGTCGATAATATGTACCTTACAGTAGTAGCGATTTCTTTGACAAAAATCAGTTCTCTCTGAAAATTACTTTCTGACAGTAGAATATTCAATAGTCTGTGAAGCATGTATTATGTATAAGATAGTTTATGGAAAACCATCACGCAAATCAACTTTATTGGGTTGGCATTGTTTGCAACACTGTACAGTGGAAAGGTAAATACCAATTACTCAAATTCTCAAATACCAACCATCCAATTCACCAACTCTTGAAGTTTCCTCTCTTCAAAAGATAGTATCTCTTATCTATTCAATATTTCCGTCTAATTTCGTGATAAGTTACTGACTTACGATTTCATTATCAGAAAATTCTATTCATATATTGACTCGTCAGAAATATTTTCGAAAACAATATAATTACGACTATTAGGAGGTGAGGCGAGTCAAATCAAATCATGGCGACTCAGTCGACCGGTGTTGGTGAGTGTTTTTTGTAATTTTTAATTTTTATAGATACGCGAATAGATGCATTCAAATATCAATTGTAGATTGTGTTTAAAAAAAAATTTAAAATATTCCAGTTGTGCCACGAAACTTTCGCCTTCTTGAGGAATTGGAAGCTGGTCAGAAAGGTGTATCAGATGGAACTATCAGTTGGGGTTTAGAAAACGATGATGATATGACTTTGACACATTGGATGGGCATGATAATTGGACCTCCTCGAACACCATATGAAAATAGAATGTATTCAATCAAAATTGAGTGTGGCCAAAAATACCCTGATGATGCACCAACAGCAAAGTTTATATCTAGAATAAATATAAACTGTATCAACAGCAATACAGGAGTGGTGAGTGATTCTGCTTAATTGCTGTGATTCTTGTTGAATTTTTATCGAATTTTGAGGCCGGTTTATTGGATGAATAGATGTAACTTTATTGATAACTTTAGTCACATCATAAATGAACATATCATAGGGAAAATGGCATTTATTGGTGAATACCAAAGGGCCATCGACCAAAGTCTTTCAGCCAGTGTACAATTTTTAAATATTTGCAGTGATTTTCACATATTATGCTTACATAATAGATTTGAGGTACATTATATTTCTGACAAAAAAAAATTAAAAATTATGAGAGTGATTTGATGTTTTCCCAAATAGTTTTTTCCGGGTATTTGAATTTGGATGGTTGTCCTTCAGCTCTTTTCCTATATAATGCCTGTAGGGTCTCCAAGTTAGTTTCATTTTTGGCAAAGCAGTTTCCTAGATCTGATAGTCTCTCTTTTATAGGTTTCACTTTTGTAGTTCTATAAATCAGTGCTTTTGAGGGATTGTGTAGTATGTTCTGAGGGTGACGCTTTTTGGTAATACTCCTTAGTGTAAATGTTTCAGCTGTTTGGAGATTTTTTAATGCAGGATTACAACAATTCGAATTGATTACATGTGCATATTCGAGAAGTGGACAACAGATCATTTTATAAGATACAAATCTTCGGACAATAATCTAAAGCAATAAAGAAGATCGCAACGGAAAGCAATATATTTGTAGCAGCAACATTGTTCTTGTATATATCTCATGGTGAATTTCAAATTCTTTCTCAAATCCAAACTATTGCACATTTTTCTGTTCCGAATTTCATACCGATAGCTTCCATGTACTCTCCTAGTTTGTTTTCTCCAGAGGCAGAGTTTAAGGTACTCATTAAAAAAAATAGTGAAGTTACTCTGATAAACGATATTTTGAAAACGGGGGTATTTCCTGAGATACTGAAGACTGGAAAAGTAATACTAATATTTAAGGGTGGTGATAACAAAAACTTAGAAAATTATAGACCTATAACAATTGTGTGCTCATTCTTGAAAATTACTGAAACTATAATAAAGACAAGAATAATGGACTTAGTTAATCGTAATGTGGGATTTGACGAGTATCAGTATGGTTTTATCAAGGATAGCAGCACTCCAAGCGCCACAATAGATTTCATTCATAATATTACATCAGAATTGGATGAAAAATGAATGGTTATTGCAGTGTTTGTTGATTAAAAAACGGCTTTTAACGTTATTGACCATGCTGTTCTTCCGAACAAACTATGTTGCGTGGGTATAAGGGACAAAATTTATTCTCTCATTGAGACATTTTTGAAGCAAAGATCCCAGTTTATCGCTATTGGCGAGAGCGTGAACGAGCATATAAAAAATAACTGTGGCGTACCACAGGGATCCGTATTAGGACCCCTGTTGTATACACTGATGGTACTGTCACTGAGGCAGGCCGGGCTTACGGGGAGGTATCTCCTCCCAAGGAGTTGACCTCCTAGGTCATCGTCCATCCTGTCCTTTCCAGGAAGTTGGACAGGTCTCTGGAAGACCTCCTCTATATTGGCAGGTGTAGGTCAAGACTCGCCAAACACACACTCTTATTGACGGTAACTCCAGATATTCGCATAGGACATGCCCGACAGTTTCATCTTCCTGTTCACCCCAGGGTGATCCTGGCAAGTTTGCATCCTTTGATTTCATCTCATCTCTTTAGGGATTGAGCATGAGTACGACGTTTGGCTGGTAGCAATTGTCGAAGTCATCTGGCCGTAGGTGTCACTGGGTCCTAAAATTCTTAGTCTATCCGCTTCCTTGGCAAAAGAGTTGGCAATGAGATTTCCTTTACTCCTGTCGTGCCCTTTAATCCACCTCAGGATAATGTTATTATCTAACGAGGCTTTGGCTAAATCTTGGTGGCACTTACTAGTCTTGAGGTAACACTTCTGTTCAAGGCTAATAGGGCCTGTCTGCTATCAGTGCAGATTGTTATGTTTTTGCCAGAAATTCCTTTCCTGGTTATTTCTTTTGTGGTGATTGAGATACCAGTCAGTTCTGTTTGGACCATGCTGGTATTTTTTCCCATTCCCCACTTAATCTTTAGGCTTAGTGATCTGGAGTACACTCCACATCCTGAGCCTTCTTTGGTTTTTGAGCAGTATGTATATATGCGTATTGCATTTGTAGCATCTGACTCAGTGTTCTATTTTATTTGTATTTTGTAGGATTTATTAAACACTAACACCAGTCGTGCGCAATCGTAACATGGCCATTAATGCAACCTCCTTAACACACAGGTCCAAAGGGGTCAGACCAGTAATTATTTCCATTGCCACGGTTGGTGTTGTTCTCATGGCTCCTGTGATGTTTAAACAAGGCAGTCGCTGTATTTGATATAATTTTTGGATAGCCGTTGCTTGTAGAACTTTTGGTCCCCATGCGATGACGCCTTACGTTAACATAGGTCTTATTATTGCAGTGTAGATCCAGTTGACCACACGGGATGAAAGACCCCATGATCGTCCCACCGGCCTCCGACATTGTTCATAAGCAACATATGCTCTTTTTGCTCCACTCTGTAGGTGAGCGTTCCATGTTAGCTTCCTGTCGAGGATAGTATCAAGGTATTTCGCCTCTTCAGAGAAGTTTAGTTTGCTTTTGAAGATTTCGGGAGGTTTTAAGCCCGATAAACTCTTTTTCCTAGTGGAAAGGACCATCTCATTCATAATATTACATCAGCATTGGATAAAAAAAAAGAATGGTTATTGCAGTTTTCATTGATTTGAGAAAGGTATTTAACGTTGTAGACCATGCTGTTTTGCTGAACAAACTTTTTGAAAATAGTCTACCACAAAATGTTAATAACACTAGAAATTTTGACTATGTATACCCAAAACATAGACTAACTGTTACAGAAGGAAAGATTCCAGTTTGTCACTGTTGGTGAGAACATGAGCGAACATATTAAAAAAATAAATTGTGGCGTACCACAGGGATTCTTTTTGGGTCCCCTGCTGTATACACTGATGGTACTGTCAGTGAGGCAGGCCGGGCTTACGGGAAGGTATTTCAGTTCGCCGATGACACGGTCCTTTTGTACAGTGGAGATGATTTACATTTACTGGAGAACACAGTTAATGAAGCTCTTCAAATGCTCAAATTGGCTTGCGCATAATAAACTAAAGGTGAACTCTGCAAAAACCAAGTATTTGGGACTGAAAATAGATGATAAGTTAACTGGTCAGGTCACACAGAACATATTAATGATAAAATTGTAATAATGTTAGGAGCTCAAAATAGGTGTTCCAGTTACTTAAGTTTCAGTAATAGATACTTACTTGGTTTGCAATGGCGAATCTTAGGTATCCGTTGATCATGTGGGGTACTTGTGGCATCTACTAGTCAACAACCAGTTTTATGAGTATTATCCTCCACTAGTAACAAACATAACTGGATAACTCCTGAAGTGAAACAGGCCAGTCTTGATTTAAAAAGTATGCATTGGTTATGTGAAAATATAGGCAACGAAGATTCTCGTGCTGCATACAAAAAAGCGAAGAAAGACTATGAATCATTAATAAAAGCTTCAAAGTTGAATTTTTACGAAAATGTAATTAAGAATTCTAACAATAAAAATAGAACAGTTTGGAACCTAGTTAACAAAGAAACGAACAGAAAACAAATCCAAAGAGATATTACTCTCAACTATAATAATAAAGTAATCTCAGACAGAGATCATGTTGCGAACATATTTGGGGACTATTTCTCTTCAGTAGTAGAAAATAGCTTAGCAGACCATTTTGGCGACAATAGATCATCCGTATGCACGGTTTCTGGAATTGAATCGAATACTTTTTTCTTTATGCCCGTTAACGAATGNAAATTCATAAATATAGAGACCTGTTAGTGTTAATATTTTTTTATCTACGAATATTTTTTACAGCTATCTCTCTGAGAAAGGTTGAATATTTTTCTGAGACACCGTTTTTGCAATACGAATATTTTTTGTGTATGTGCAGACATTCCCCAGAATATAATGCTATATCTGATGTGACTCTGAATATAACCATTATATGCTCAGTGGATATATTTTGTGTAACCATTTTCAGGGCATAGCAGTACCTTGACATTTCTGTTGCCACTTTATCTATGCAGCATGGAAAAAATGATTATACAATCCTTTTACACGGGCTGTAAAATTCTTCAGTGAATTACCTGTCCATATACGTGAGTTGCCGGGGTTTAGTTCATTCATAAATAGTTTTAAAGAACATATGAACCTCGAGGCACATGTCTGATAAGTTACTACTACGAGCTTTGTAATGGTTTTCTAGTTTTTGTGTTTCACTTGTCATGTTGAATGTTTGTTAATCCCGAGAACAGCATTTCTGCTGATTTATAGTGTCTTAACTGTGCTGAACTGTACTCTGTTATATTTTTAATAATAAAAAAAGATATAGACATGTGGAAGACTGAAGGGATCACTCTGAAATACATCTCTTTGGATAGTGACCTGGATAGTGACCTATTTGAATTTTATCCTGACCAGATTTTATGGTGAAGCAAGCTTTCCAAAATGGTGTCAGCGGTTCAATACTTTTCCTTTATTATCATTATTAATAAAAGTTTGGAGATTATGTATTCATCCTGTCTGAATTTTTAGGTGGATAACAGACAAGTTCCTGTGTTGGCTAGGTGGCAGAGAGATTACTCCATAAAAACCGTTTTACAAGAACTTCGTAGATTGATGACACTAAAAGAAAACATGAAGCTCACTCAGCCTCCAGAGGGCAGTTGCTTTTAGCCGTCAAGTCAGCAAAACACTCCTCCTTTATCTTCGGTTGCAATGTGTCCCATGAATGTTGATACCTGCACCAGCAAGTCATGTTGTCTCATCTAGCAGAACCAGTCGCAGTGTCACCTCAATATCGAAAATGTTGCATTTCTACTGAAAAGGTGTACAGCTTTGAGAGCTATGTATAGCAAGAAATATTTTAAGCATATAAGTTGATTGAATTATTCCAAATTGGTAAAGAATGTATGGATATAATTTGAAATATTCTTTGAAAGATATTTTTTGTGAAGGAGTCAATGTTTCTTACTGTTTTTTGGGTATTGTGAACCTTCGTTAATCTGTAAAATAATCAAAGCTAAATCATTAGAGAATCTGCTGAAGTGTAAATTGAACAGTTCATCCCTATAAGAGGAAATTCTTCAGTTTTCCCTTTATTGCCCTTCAGCAAATCCTCTATCGATTCAGTTTTGTCTGTTTTTTTGATTGTGGAAGTACCCAAAAAACCAGAAATGATTTGAAATATTGACACCGCATATTGTTTACCGCGTTCTGCAAATCCTTTCAGAACTATTCTTAATCGGCTTAGATGGCAGTGACATACGTGTTGAATTTGCAACAGTCTTGTTACTTCAAATGAAATGAAAGTATTTCCAAGCTTTTTAATATGTGACATAGCATTTAAAAGCTGTACTGCTTATTTCATTTCCTTTATGATTTTTTTAAGTGGACTGTGTTGCTGTTATTTGTTAGGGTAAATTTTAAAATATTTGTTGAACAATTTTGTGATCTTTAACAAAATACACTTGTAATAATTGTAACTGAAGTAAATGTAATTAGAACTGAGGTTCGTTTAAGCCAATATCCCCGTTAGTTTTCAATTTAATTTTAATATAGGTAAAATATGTTTTATGTAATATGCTGAAGAATACATCGGATCCTATTTTACATTCTGAAATACAATTTGATATATAAATTATTATTATTATCATCTTTCTAATTCGTTGGATCGGTCCAGTCTTTTTACTATCTAAAAGGTTTTTTACATTTGGTACTATTTGAAAATGAGAGAATAGTCATCAGACAGCCAGGTTACTATATACTTACTACCTTTTTTTTTGCACTTAGTCGAGTACTTCATATTTTATTTTCTAAGAAGAGCAGCACCCTCCCATGACCATTGGATTCTGTTGTGGAACGGTTAACATCTTTATTTAGTTTCACCTAACTTTACTTCACTGTGTTTTCTCAAAGCGATTTGTAGAGCTACGCCCGCTGACATGGGTAGTGAGAGGCAGTTTTCTACACGAGAGAAAATCAAAGTGTTTTCCTTACTGGCGTGCTGCTTCAAAACTGCAAGCTGAACACTATTGCTATCCCGGAAACGGTAGGTCCTACAAGAATGGTTAAATAGAACAAAAGTTGCCTATTTAGCGATGCAAGATAATGGTATTCTCAGATCGACAAAATCACCAACCGTTTCTGAGGTATTTGCAAAAAATTGAAATGTGAAACTTCATTGGAGCATCCCTTTTTAAGATACAGCCCCTTAAAGGGGGTACATAAAATTTGTATAACAATTTTTTCACAAGCACTGAAAAAGTTACAATATTGAAGTTGACCTGACGTTTTGTACTACCAAAAAGACACTTGACCAGTAATTTATTCAGTTTACCTCATGGTTGTAAGGGGTGGAAAACGCAACCCCTAAAATTTATTTCCAATGTAACTTTTTCCTTATTATTTGTTTACCATTAATAAGACAAAAAGTTACATTGGAAATAAATTTTAGGGGTTGCGGTTTCCACTACTTACAATCATGGGGTAAATCAAATAAATTTCTGGTTAAGTGTTTAGTGCGTAACAATTTTTTTTCAATTTATCGCAGAGTAGGTCAATATGTGGGTTCCACGTAAGTCTGTGATCTAAAGTGAGACCAAGCGTATAATTCTTGCACGGAGATCTTCTCTATTTGTTGGCCTATGCTTATAAATTTCACTTTTCAATGTTTCATAAATAAAAATCCAGCGGAGTTAGATCTGGGGATCGTGGTGGCCATACTATGAGAGGGCTATCAGGTCCTATCCATTTCATAGGTAGGTTCCTATTCAACTGAACCCTTGTTATGCCATTATTGTAACTGGTGAACCATCTAACTGAAAACTCATGAATTGAAGGGGTTATATTTTTAGGAGTGAGAAATTTTTGGGAAAGAAAGTTTTTGGCTTTCTACTACTCCATCTTGATACAAAAAAAGAAGAGGGCATCTTCCAAAGAAAGGAAGAAAGTAATCAATTTGAAAATAAGTAACTCTATACATGGATGTGTAGATCATGCAAAGAAGTAACTTTCAGACACAAATGAAAAATTTTGTTGTGTCTAACATCTAAAGACAGTTCTTCCAACACATTGGAAAATGCATTTTCGAGAAAATCGACGAATAGTCGTCCATTTAGATTTTGATCGAAAAAAAAAGCCCGATAATATTTTCGTTCATACATAGCACACCACACATTAATTTTCTGAGATATTTGGTCTCTAAAATTTACCACCCAATTTGGATTTTGTTCAGGTTAAAATCTCATGTTCTGGTGAACACACTTTTTCCCCAAAAATGTCAATCATGAAAAATTCGAATATGTCTCACTTCTCAAGGAAACACCCCTGTATCTTCAGTAATAATCGAGGTAGAACGATGAAACTCTCAGGATATAGCAAATGCTCGCCTTGTTCATGATAACATAAATGTGCCCTTCTTCGAATATTATTCACTGCACGATTAATTTCCCTCCTCCTCAACTCGAACAATGCTGTGTTGAAGGTCCTCAATATTTTGATAATCCCTCTGACCATAAACTTTATTTTTCAGTGTATCTCATAAGAATATATCCATAACACTTAAGTCTGGAGACCTTGCTGGCCACATCACCGGCTCATTATTCCCTATCCATTCATCATCAAACCTTTCAGTCAGGTAATTAGATACTTGTCTGGTAGTATGCGGTGGAGCACCATCATGTTGAAGCCAGATGTCGTTATAGTTAGCCAAAGGTAGATCATCCAAATAGTCTTCGAAAATCGACATTAAAAACTGGTGATAGGTTTCTCCATCCAGAAATCCGTCAAATAAATGAGGATCCAAAATTCTATCTTTGTAAATTCCTGCCACACGTTAATACTAAATCGCACTTGAGATCGATTTTCTCGGAACTGCCTGGGGTTGTTTATGCTCCAAATGTGTTTGTTATTTTGGTTGAATATACCACAATTCGTAAAAGTGCTTTCATCTGTCAAAATTACATTTTCCAGGAAAACAGGAAAGTCAAGTCTTCTTATTAGCCAATTACAAAATTGTAATCGCCTTTCAGGATCACCTGGATGCAATTTTTGAGATATGTGTATTTTGTAACATTTTATACCGCTTTTTTGAGATGTCTCCAAGCATTTGTATGACAAATATTCATTTCGGAGAAAATTTGACGTGTAGATTTTCTTGGGTTCATGTTCATCTGTTTATCTGCAAATTATTAATTTTATTGAAAAGGACACAATGTCTAACTTATTTTATACATACCTCATTTATCAAATTTTCTTTAGTTAGTTTTCCTCGGCTTTATCAAATGAACCAAACTCGGTGAGATTGTGATCCAATAACTTGAACATAGTTCGATGTGGTTGTCGCCTTTCGGGATCACCTGGATGAAATTTTTGAAGTATGTGTATTTTGTAAGCACTTGTATGACAAATATTCATTTCGGAAGAAATTTGACGTGTAGATTTCTCCGGACACAATGTCTAACTTACCTCATACATACCTCATTTATCAAATTTTCTTTAGTTTCCTGGTTCATTCGTCTGTCTCCGTATTTTTTCTCGGCTTTTCAAATGAACCAATAACTTGAACATAGTTCGATGTGGTTGTCATCTTTCGGGATACAAGTTTAAATACATTTCCGATGTCCTAAACTGTTTCTATTGTATTTGTAATAAAAAATGGCTTTCATTCGTGAAAGCCATTTTTCGCCAAAAATTCAATGACTTGTACAATAACAAAATGTCATTGAGTATAATAAATTGAAATTCAAATTTAGAAACATCAAAGTCAAAGCCTATTATGATAAGAATTAATTTATTTCAATATCTCCAATTTTTCGAATGAGAATGATAACTTATGACACATCATTGAAAAGGTTAAATCTGGTTCTATTCAAAACAGAAAGAATCCAATGTAGCGCCCATAAGAAAAAATAAAGTTGATGATGGTGGCCGGAAGAGAAACGTCGGATAGCAGGGAAAAAGTAGCAATGTGGAAGTGCAATTTATCTAATTTTCCGAAGTTTCTGTTTTTTCCGGATATCTCCGAATATACTTGGAATTTCAGAACTTCCTCAACGGCAGTCAGGTAAATTCGCAACTTTGCCCCAATTTAACCTTATTCGTATCTTTCATACTTTCTGAGATCCCAATGGTGGAGATCGAATTTGAAACACCCTGTATAGCACATTTTACAACCTTTATTCAACTAGCTTTCAGTAATAATAAACAAGTTTTTCCGATATTCCTGGTTGTAAAAGCTGCTCACGCCCATGTCAACATTTTCATCTTATGTGAATAACCAATAGGTAAGTATCACTTCAGTATATGTATAGTATACAAAGTCATTTCCCGCTGTATGTCCCTTGGTATGCTAAGATATTTGAAACTGCGCAACGGATTTTGACGCGGGTTTTATAATAGACAGAGTGATTCGAGAGAAAGGTTTATATGTATATAACAATAATAATAATAATATACTTTATTATCATAAGACATAATCTTGTAGACAAAGTTAGAGTAGTACATACTTAAAAAAATGCAATACATACCAACTGAAACTAAAATAAAAATATAAATGGTGCATGGGAACAAACTATGTTAAAATGGAGGATATAAAAGATATGTATGTATAAAAGAGTAGACATAAAAAGTAACAACTCAAGAGCGTAAAGATAAAAATATGCGTAAGTCAGTTAAAAACTATCGTTAAAATATTCATCCAAAGTATAATAGGGTCTATCAAATAGAAATTGTTTGACTAACTTTCTGAATTGGAAGTCATTTATATTGGCAGATCTTATGTCCATAGGCAAATGATTGCACATTTTTCCACCGTTGTAAAATATGGAGTATCTGGTAATGTTTTTGGTTGGCACAGTGATTGGTTTCAGAGTGTGTCTGCAGTTTCGGGTGTTATAATGGGAAGAGGATGAAGCAAAATTTAATATATGCTTATTTATTAAACACACAGATTCCAGTATAAATAATGCAGTTACCGTTAGAATATTATGTTTTTTGAAGAAGGTTCTACAGGAGTCTCTTGGTTTAAGGTTTCCTGTATACCTCATTGCCCTTTTCTGTAAAATTAGTAAACTTTTGAATAAAGTTGGACTGCATGCTCCCTAAAACGGTATTCCGTAGCGTAAGTGAGAATCTATGAGTCATCTTGCAGTACTGAACCCCAATTCTTTATAAATCACTCTAACCGCATAACAACCAGAAGAGACTTTTCTAGTGAGTTGTTTAATATGATCCACAAATTTTAAATTCTGGTCAATGAAGACTCCTAGATATTTAGTGTATTTTTAGATTCCAGTGATCTGTCTTGAAAAGAAAGTTCGTTGATTGAGCATCTAAATGATAATAAATTTGTTTTAGTTAAGTTAAAGGATAAAATGTTTGAATCACACCAATCTTTAACTTTTTTTCAAGTCGGCAGGGGTTTATTTTGTGCAACTCACAAGTGTTTTTATTATTCCAAAGTATGGTAGTGTCATCTGCAAATAAGGTGAACTTCCCAGAAATATTACGCTTGGTGAGGTCATTAA